AAACTAAGGCGAGCATGTCGCAGGTAAACTAAGGCGAGCATGTTACAGGTAAACTAAGGCGTGCATGCCGCAGGTAAACTAAGGCGAGCATGTTACAGGTAAACTAAGGCGTGCATGCCGCAGGTAAACTAAGGCGTGCATGTCGCAGGTAAACTAAGGCGAGCATGTTACAGGTAAACTAAGGCGTGCATGTCACAGGTAAACTAAGGCGTGCATGTCACATCATGCCACTAAAAGTCACCTAACTCATCATATTATGGCGCCAGCTGCAGGCAAGAAACCGACTTCTACAAATATTCAAGCAACAAATTCGCTGACAAATTGGAATAATGAGAGATAAACCTTGGAGCAATAACAAACTTAATATTTATACAAGGTTGTCTTCATGGTCTTTCTCAGTGTTATGCAGGTGCGCTTCACTCTGGCGGTCTGTCAGAAACTGTATTTAAAAGCAGCCAAATTCTAGTATTTCGGTACCAGATTCTTGTCATTTCAGTTTTTGGTATATATATACAATAGATGTTCAAGGTCTTTCATGTTATATCTCTCTTGGCAAAAGTAGCTTGGTGCGGAAAGTGTAATATTAGATTCAATACATTTATACAAACATTGAACATCCGGGCGCTGCCTCGCCTCAAGTTTTGGAAGAAGCGATTCTGTCCATTTTATGTTTGGTCTAAATACAGGAAAAGTCCTCCGTGAAAATGGTCGACAATTTGTTTTGGATTTAGTACAGAAAGTCTGGGCGGCTGTTGCATTACTGACCGAAGAAAAGATTCTTTTACATTGACCAGGTACTTTGTAACAGCGATTTTGTTTTGCGTTAGGATGTCCCTCGATTTTGCCAAGTTTAATATTTATTGTAGAAGTATTTCATTTAGACGTACAGGTATTCTGGTTGTTGTTATAAGTTCCTAGAGAGCCTTTGCCTAGACGCGCCTTGTTGACGTCTCGCGGTCAAGCTATGATACCTAATGAACAACAGATTTAATTGCAAGAGGAGAGCAGAGGGTTACAAATTTGAACGAACAAAATAAAATATAACAATAAACAGAAGTTGTATTACACACTGTAATAATATTAACGCCATTATTTTCTGTAAAGAAGGTGCCAATAAAACATATTCATGCGAGTCTACACAAGATTAGAGATCTTCCAAATATGCAGAGTCTTTACAGGAGCGAATTATTAAAGCAGCAGCTCAGACTTTTTTTGACAGCAGCTCTGACTCAGATTTACGTCGGTCAGATTGCTATGGAGCAGCCACATGTTCAGATAAAATACAATAATCGCCTTCAGAATATAAAAACACAGAGAATAAGAGGGCCATTATTTTGCCAAAACCTAATTAATTAGATGTAAACAATCATTCATGTTCAAGAATTTAAAATCCGTGTTACATTCCGCCCCTCCAGTGTTACGATGATGGCAAGAATACACTGGCAACTAAAAATTACATTGCAAGGCTCTCCCAACTTGGAAGACGCAGCGTGAACGTCTTAATTCATCAGAATCATCTTCAAACTCAGGAAACCTCGATTACAGGGTCCTTTTAATTTATTTCATTATCATTAGGACTATTATAATGAAATTACAACAAAAATTCACAGAATAACCACCTGTAAGCGGAGGAGAAAAAAAGAAATTAAAAGAGCAAGGTAGAAAAAGATCAAATGAAAATTAATTAACAAAAAAAGATCAAATGAAAATTAATAAACAAGTACTGTCAAAAAACCATTAATGTACCAGAGAACTCAATGCTATATGCCTGGCACGCAGAAGTTTCTTAGTGAAGCACATCTTAGGAAGCTTAGCATGCAAGAGAAATGAGAATAACTGACCGGAACTGAGCACAGACTGAGCGTGTAAGAGAAATAAGAAAACTGACCGGAACTCAGGATGAGTTTGGTGCACAAGGCAGTCCATGAAGGTGCTCTTGCCGTGATGCAGGTGCCCTACGAGCGCGATGTTGCGCACGAGGCTGGGCTCGTCCTGTAGGTCTGTCAGGAACTGCAGGTCGTACACTGTCTTGGGCAGGTTCTTCTCCACCAGCCGGAACTTTTTCACCTTTATTGGCTGCTCAGCAAACACAAAACACTTTTAGTCATGAATTAGTTTGGTCTCTAAAGTTCTCTCATAAGATTTTTTCAGGTGGCGAGACAGGATTAAGTATTATGAGGGCTGCAGTATTACAGCTCAGTAAATTTAATGTACTGTCCATTTGTCTAAAAACTGAATAAAAACAGGATTAAAGAAAATTCTCAGTCAAAGACCACAAAATACCTACCTATTCTGATAAGAATATACATACGGTTTAGATCATTGGAATACAATAATAGCTTTCATTATAGCCTTTTCATTTATTTTACCTGCTCAATAACTTGTGCTTGATTTGAGCATTTTTTATCCCTTCTTTTGATAAAGTTGTCCAGCTTTGTATGATTTTATGTTAAATTTTATCCATATTACCATATATGGTACACATTGTGGTTTGGGAGATAAATGCATGTAAAATATATGGCAAAGTCTTATGAAATTGTGAACATGAATGAAAGCCTAAATAATATTTATATGGCTGCAAAAACTAACCTGAATGATCGGCTGAGTGAGTGGCTGAGCATCTTCCTCATGAACAATGGTCTCTACGTCAGGCCCGTAGACGTCTTCAGGAGCTGGGTAGTATTGCTTGTCTTCGTGGAGTACCACCGCTTGTGATGCAATGCCTTCATCATCATCGTCATCTCCTTCTTCAACTCTATAACAAGAAAAATCTTTTGATCTACTTTAATAGCCAAGGCATGCTAACAAGCATTTCATCATGTTGGTGTTGTGATACAAGTTTGAAAAAATAAAAGGATGTTTTGGGAATGTCACATATCAGTATTCATAGCTTCATTAAATATGTCAAGAAAGGTCAATAGAGCAAATGGAAGAGCATTGGATCTCTTGAAAAGACTTTCTTGTTGCAAAATGAAATATAGTTTCTGGATAATTTAGGTGAAGCTCCTTTACAATAAATTCCATTCATCAACAATCACCATCTATCTTTCCAACAAATCCATCTATCTTTTTTTGTGAGGGATGCGTTTCAGCACTAAAATAAACCCACAATACCGTATGTTGTAGCCCTCTATTGACTAATTTATCATTCCTAGCACTGAACAATCATAATGAATGCTTTTCAGCAGAAACTACACAAGATTGCAACACCCATCAATACCCATCAGGTAGGTATATGACACAAACTACCATAAAACGGGGTAATAAGGGACGGGCGGGGTAAATCAGGACAGTTGTCCCACATTTTGTAGAAATGTAGCAGCTAATCTAATCAAAATATTGTAAAACTAAAAATAGTGGCTATCTACGTATGTAGTATAAAGCAAATTAAGAAATCGTACATTTAGAACTGACAAATGGGGTAATAAGGGGCGGTTTTGAGCACTTCTCGTTAATAACTTCTTACCGTGAAATATTTCATAAAAAAGTTAGGGCTCATTTTAAAGCTCTTTGTGAGGGCTATCGTATGGTATCTCCAAAAAAATTCCACATGCTATTCGTAATGTGCTAGACACAGAATAAAAGGATCACAAATTACCCCTGGGAATAGGGTAATCCAGGACACATGAAATAAAACTTAATTTTAAAACGTTTGAAGCATGCAGAGTGTACTCATTTATTACTAACAGTAATATGACATCCTCCTTTTCCTTTGTAGATGTTGTAGATATAGAATAAATGACATTTTGCAATTTTTACTAATTTTCCTTTCATTGAAATGATAGGTATTACCATATCCATACATTACTGTATTATTGATGTGATATGTATTACTGTATCCATGGACATGCCATTAAGCATTGACAACAACCTTGTCCACTTCAAGCTTTATATCAGCAGCCATTTAGCATTTCTTCTGTATTTTTAAGCCTACAGGACAGCTTGTATTTTCACACTATTTAATTGGGTCAAGTGAATTCACTAACTATAACAAAAAAAAGATTGTAAAAAACGTAGTACTTGAAATAGATAGGAATATTTTAGTGACAATCATCATATTTTTGGAGAAATAAATCATAGTTTAGGTTAATTACTTTTCATTCTATGTTGCCCAGTGCACAATTCTATCCATGACATTCTATGAGAAGATGGTCATCACACAATTGTGTGATGACCGATGATGCATAATTTTTCATCAAGTGAAATTTTTATGCCAAGCAAGGTAAATGTAATAAAAAATTTGTATTGCTAATTCATTTTTTCATTAACTGGAGCCTTTGCTAACTGAGGTTCTACTGTAAAGGCATTTTTAGGGGTGTCCCTTATTACCCCTGGGGGTGTCACTTATTACCCTGTCTTATAGAAATGGCAGTCATTTTTTTTTTCTGGAATGAGATATGTAAATTCCGTCAATCACGTTTTTAGGCCAACACCTGTGTCAGGCTGTTTGCAACTTTTATGTAAGTAAATTTCTTCAATATGGCAAATATTTGTTTTGCTACAGACCTTAGCAGAGGTACTTTTCAAAATTTTACTTTTCACTTCTTTTTTTCAGGGATTTTTAGAGGTAGTATGATTTCTCTACTTGCTTCATGCTACATATATAGTAAAAATTTGGAACTTTATGCCACTATGTTTTCTTTTGCAATATTTTGATTAGGTTAGCTGCTACAACATTTCTATAAAATTTGGGATGACTGTCCCAATTTACCCTGCCATCAATCCCTTATTACCCCATTTGACAGTAGACTACATATAGAGCATTGGAGATCAACATGCAGACACTAAATTGCATAACCTTAGAAGTTAAAGTGTAAAATTGGGCAGGAGCCACCTATTAATGAGACAAAATTTTTCATAAATCTGGCCAATTTCACCCATTCATCTTAAGGACATACATATTCTAATGTCTTTAGCAAATAATAAGAGAAAAACAGCCTATTCTTATTGGCTAATACAAAATCACCTATAAAATGATTATTTTTGCCTGCAATTTTTTGAAAGTTGTCTAATATTTCCAATTAGTTCAGAACAGCCTCTCATGAACTTGATATTCAGTGATGGTGTACTCCTTGGGTTAGTCTTTGGCATAGCATTGGCTGGTGGCTGAACTGGAAAATTGGGCAGAAACCACCAATGGATTAGAGAAAAAACACTCGTGAATCTGGCTAATTTCACTCATTCTTATGGCCCTACTCTAATTTCTTCAGTAAATACAGTAAAATGGGGTAACTTTGACAATTTTTTTCAAAATGATGCCATTTTTTTACTAGATAAGTTAAACTTAAATTGAAACATGCAATAAAATACTTTAAAAAAAAAAACTTTTTAAAAAAACCACGTTTTTCTTGTGGACTAAAAAGTAGAAAATAAATTATGGTTCACCCCAAAAAAATGTGTGTAAGGCAGATTTATGATTAAAGCGAAAAGCACACAACACTTAAATTTTGGAAATATGATGGTGAACGTACAGCCCGACCCACGTTTTTTTTGGGAGAATCATAATTTATTTTCTACTTTTTAGTCCACAAGAAAAACAATTAAGACTTGATTAAGTATGACTTGACGTACGTATTGATGATATGCAGCATCAACGCCTGCTCGTTTATAACGTGAGCGCCCGCACGTCATACTATATATATACTATATATATACTTTACTCAATTAAACTAATTTAGGTCTCTAATTACCAGTTTTTATGATTGTATCTGAAATTGTTAGGCAAAAATAGCCTGCATGCCGAATTTCAGATCTCTAGAACAATCAGAAGTGGGCTAATTTTTGTTGTCAATGTTAACAACAAACAAACAAACAAACGCAAAGCTAAGCTAAGAAAAATGTGTTAAAATACAGGTCTATACTCTAGCTTCACTCACCATAAATTGCTGGCTCCTGCCTCTCATACTTTTGATGTAATTTCAATAAAGTGATGGTCTTTGTTACCCCAGCTCTTAGGGTTTCTTTGACCAGGTGGTAAAATCAATTTTATTTTTTGGTAAAATAATTCCAAATAACTCCAGGTTTTGGTGCATTGTAGTAGAACTCTTCCAGTTACATATGCAAATGACAAATTTGTGGGAAGTGTCATAGTCTGCAAATTGGGGGTGCAGCCCCCCAATGGGTGAAATGTGTCCACCTAATGGCAGCCATGCTGGGGTAACATTGACCGGCTCGGAAATTAAGTTAAAATTACCATATATAAGACTCTGTAGAGTCTGAAACATGGAGAAAAAAACATTAATAGGTGTATCAAACATAAAATATGTTATATAGGTACCTATGGTAATTTTAACTTAATTTCCAAGCCGGTCAATGTTACCCTGTCATGGCTGCATTAAGTGGTCAAAGTTCCCCCATTGGGGGGCAGCACCTCCCATTTGCAAACTATGACACTTTCCTAAAATTTGTCATTTGCATATGTAACTAGAAGAGTTCTACTACAATGCATCAAAACATGGAGTTATTTTACCAAAAAATAAAAAAATTGTAGGGGGTACTCCGACAGGATTTAAATAATAGCTATTTCGTGGGTCACATTATTAATTTTTCAACCTATTAGATATGCAAACATTTTAAATCTTTCTATTGTGTTACATAGCCTCAGTATTAGGCCATTAATGTAGGAAAATAAACTTTCTTCTTTATGTACCTCCATTACTCTTTTATTTCGCCTCAAAACTGTTCAATCAGTTCTGCCCCCACCCTGTATAAGCTAGCTAACGCGTTTAAATTGTATATTGTAATCAATATATAGCAAATAGTCAAATAGTTAGACTACTTATAGCCTTATAATAATTAGTTAAGCTGCTAGCTACGTACAATGTATTACACTCTTGATGCCTCTGTACCAAAAACATTCTATTTATTGGAACATAATACACACTAAAGGCAACAAGTTTATATACCAATTTGTCATTCATAGTACATTTATACTAAAGCATGAATAACAATACCTAAATATAAATTAAAGACTGCCACTTAATATTTTTAAATATATGAAAAAATCAAAAAATCAAATAAATCACAAAAATCAAATAAATCATGATTTTTTTTATAAAAAAATCAAGTGATTTAATCACATGATTTAATCATTTTGATTTAATCATTGCCAACCCTGAGCTAATTACTTTATGAAGTTCAGTTTTTTGCTGCCATATTAAGAGACAAATCTTCAATGAACTTGTACTTTTTATAATTTTAATTGTTGAGTGAAAGCTGCAGACACGCAACATTTTCAAGTGATTACTTTATAGAAACTTTGCATACCTTTACCTATACGTGTTTAAGCCTATAAGAAGTTCATTTTTTTGACTCAAATAATGTTGCATAAAAAAAACTGGTCTAGGTGTATCGAGAATAATATATGAACTGTAAATTTTAGAATTCCATTCTGCTGTATGGTCACCTATCATTTAACCTGTCATTTCCAAAGCTTTATCATGAAACAATTGTTTTTACCTATGATTTAAGGAAAATTCTGCCCATTACTCCAATGGCAGCCAATGGAAGATGAACTGTATTAGGCCTTCCAATCCATTTTGCTATATACACAAAAACATGCACCGTCAACTGGGGCTACTCGGGACAGATTTGATTTTTTTTTTGTTAATAACTGTTAATAACTTCTTATGATGAAACATTTCATAAACAAATTCAGGCTCATTTTATAGCTCTTTGCGAGGGCTATCGAATGGCATTGTCAAAAAATTCTATATGCTATTCGTAAGATCTTGTGTTATAATATTTGATGCTATA